TGACTCATCCACGTGGCTGACACTGACAAAGGATCTACAAACTGTGGTACAGGGTTACAGGATAAATCCTGAGGGGATTTGACTGACCTTGTCAGATACAAAGGTTAACTTTTAGGGGGCTGGGGAGATGGCTCAGTGGAATAAACACTTGCCTGGCAAGCACAGGGGCCTGAGTTCAATCCCTGATTTCGGAAAAAAAAAATGTTACATATATCTTGGTCTTTATATAACAAAAAATGTAACTTTCATTTTTCCAGAACTGGGGATTGAACTCAGACCCCTGTGCTTGCCAGACAAATGCTTATTCCATTGAGCCATCTCTCCAGCCCCCCAAAATATAACTTAACCATCCAGCAGACAAGTATAAAGACGAGGTATAAAAAGTAAAGCCATATTAATATGCTGAGCCATCAAGTCAACAACTTCGGACATTGCCAGTCATGCGGATAACCCACTACTATTATAGACTACTCGACATACTGGATTACTTTGCTGAATTCATGCACCTAAAATATATGAATGGCAATGGAATACCCATCATTGACAAAAGTAAACAAAAAAGGAGGATATAAATGAAGGTCCATTTTGTAGTGAAAAAAATATACACAGATCTATCTATCTATCTATCTATCTATCTATCTATCTATCTATGCAAAATAGTTAGCGTAGATATACAGCTACTTTCTCTTAGTTCAATGAGAAGAAAGTTTTGAACTAATAGCGTTTAGATGAGATATGTGTGCATCTTGTACTACGATAACTGCTGCAAAGACAATATGCAATGTAATAATTATTGTAACTGTCATACTAACCTGTTTTGAAACTGTCTCATTGCTATTTCTTTCTCAATAAAATTAATATCAAAAGAGAGTGCGGTCATGGTGCCTCTTTCTGTTGCAGCAAGACAGAAAAAGGGAAAATCCATGCAGATTAAAGCTGTAACTGTGATTCCTAACATTTATTGAGAGAAGTTGTGTTGTGGAATATTCTGTAGCTTATTTCAAAAGTAATTCAACTTTTTTCAAAATTGAGAGCTCTCTTACCATCTAAAATTTACATTCCATTCAAGACCTTTCTTCTCCTTTATGTTAATTCTTTTAAGTCCTAAGCCTATTCTTCTGTTATGTGATAAGCATTGTTCTGTGCCTTATTATGTGGAAAGAAAAGTAACGAGAGTCGAGTGCTATACCGAAAATTACATGGCCAGAAGGCAGTGAAGCCAAAATGAGGTCACATGACTGTCTAAATACAGAAAATTAAAAATATATAGCAAAAGTAAAACAACACAGAATTTCACTAAACAAAATGATAGGAATTCAACAATGGTTGTTATATTATTGCATATTGTTCTCTTCAAAGTAGTTGTTCAGGCTACCAGACATGTGCATGCAAAATTGGTCAAATAAAAAAATTAAGAAAATAATTAAGCATTAACTGTTCCTTTTTATAGACCAGTAAAATTTTACATACAAAATTAAGGCTCCTTGGATGAAAACATTCTTCTAACCTCGGATTATATTTTCACTCTTTCACAGGGATTATTATGGAGAAAAAATTGCTATCTACTTTGTCTTTCTTGGTTTTTACACAGAAATGCTGTCCATTGCAGCTGTGGTTGGCTTAGCTTGCTTTATTTATGGCTTATTATCAATGGACAATAATCCAAGCAGGTAAGTACAGCGTGCTGCCCAGTGCAGACATCTTTATTTTATGCTAACGGTGTCTACTATTATTAGTTTATTTGCATTTGCTTGGTGTTTCCTTATATGGATTAGTAACTGATATTTTTGAGGATAACGCAGACACTACAGCTTTCCCTCATTGGGTACCTTATAGAAAGTCTCCTTTGAAAGATGCACTATGAATAATCTATTTCTGAAAATAGACTTTGACCCACTGTAGAAAAGGCTGCCTTTCTGAGGAGATTACAATGTCCTGAGTTTGATCACTAGTAGCAAAAGACAGACAAACAAACAAAAAAAGTTCTGCCTTATTCTTCTGTTATATGTAAGCCATGTATAAATGGTTGTTATAATAAGAATAGCTTAGATTTTTCATCTCATACTTCATCATTTCTAAAACAACCCCGCTCTTCCTCGAGTAGCATGGAAATCTGCGACCCTGAGATTGGTGGTCAGATGATCATGTGCCCACTCTGTGATCAAGTGTGTGACTACTGGAGACTTAATACCACCTGCTGGGCCTCCAAGGTAAGTAAACATATGTTGTGTTGAAAAGACTTGGAATTTCCTTCTTTCCTACTGCATTGGATACTAAGTGTCTTTGTGTTGTTGTTATTGTTATTTTTACAGTTCGCACACTTATTTGATAATGAGTCAACAGTGTTCTTTGCAATATTCATGGGAATATGGGGTGAGTACAGAGTCTCAGAAAACAGCTTTCTCTGTATTATATGCCATATCATTCATCTAAATAACACTGAGAGCATATGTTATACTCTGAAGGTAGTTTGAGACCATTGTGTCTTTGCTTGGATCCATACACTGATGGAGTCGTAGGCCTTTGGTCCTTGCTCTATGAAGGTCTCCATGAACAAGTGCCCATTGCTCGAAGAAACAATATAGTTTTCAGACATAAAATCATGAGGCTCTCACTCTGCTTTAGTGTCATAGCAAAAAAGAGGTTCAATCAGCACTTAATTCAGGAGACACTAAACACAAACATTAACAGCAGGAAGACACTGCGCCAAAGATACATTCTGGAACAAGGATCAGAAACTGTCAGGGGGCTACTAAAAAGTCCTTGACTCTCCGTTCCTTATGTTCAATTATAAACCCAGCCTCGAGCTTCATTTAATAAAAAATTTCCCTATAGAGTTTGTTTCATATGGGAAATGTCACATCCGATGCTTTTTTTCCCCTTTTCCGATGGAAAATATTATGGAGTTGTTTCTATCAACAGAGAGGATAATTTAAGAATAATTTAGTCCAAGTAAACCTGAAGACTTGTCTAAAATCTACTTTAAAAATAGAGACTCGGAAACAACGTACTTCCTTTCCAGTTATAAAGAGCCCTTACCAAACATCGGTATTTGAAAACTGGACAAGAATTTCTTTACTCAGGCAAAATGACTTCAGAGCTGAGGGATTTGGCCAAAGCGGAGAGATTTAAGGGTGTAGTCCCTTCTGCTTGATTGCTTGTTCTGAAGTAATCAGTTCAGATTTAAAAAGCAGGCAATCAAGAAATCCTTCCACCACCTCACCAGCAAACCCCATTTGGCGAGGTGGTACACGGACCTGTCTTGGTCAAGAGGCTGGCAAATTCTGCCTCTGCCGCTCCTTGAATAGAAAGTGAATGATAGATTCCAGAAAATATTCTATGAGTGTTTACTGAATACTTTTTTGCAGTTATTTCTGGGGCAAGCGTATTTGTGTAACAGGAACTTTATAACCTGCACAGAAAAATAAGCTGATATGTAGAAATGGAAAAAATTTGAGCAACACTCAACATACGATTGTTATTTTGGCCATACTTTTTCATTCCATGTATGTAGGCCTTATGTGTTCACATAATTTTACAAAAGCGACAAAATATGGTACATACATGATTTTAAATCAGCTTCTTAAATTCAAAAGCAAGAAATAAAAATGCTCTTTCCATATCACTAAATATATAGGACAGTGTCTCTCCCCCCCCCACACTTGACATGCAGAAAGTTGTGTTTATAACTGAATTGCCTTGTAAGAATTTATCACATTTTGTGGAAACAATACTCTATTTTTGTATGTTTAGATACAAGCTACTGAGTTTTCTCCCTGATCCCAGGTTCACATAATTTAGCAAGTGTTTTTAAATTTTAATTTTAGCACAGATATTGTTGCTGAAAAGTGACTAAAATATGTACATTTATGATCCCAAGCTAACACTTTATTTTGCCATTAGGAATAATGTTAGAATAAATATGTTTTTAGATATGCAGTTTCATCATAATAATAAATGCTTAGGTGGATTTCTGGGGAAATCTTCTATTCACAGTTCTAAAAGGTTTGCTACATATTCCTATACTGACTTATATTATGGGTGTGCCCACTTAAGTTTCTGGGAGCATCTTGGAGTTTTGTCTGTGCTCCAACCATGAGTGAGCCTGGAGTATGGCCAATGTTTTGTCATTTACAGTGTAACAGCTGGGATGCTATCAGATTATTTTTTGCAATTACTTAATCACTAAATATGATTGAACATCTTTCTGGTATTTATTTATCACTCATTGGCACGCATAGGCTTTGGATGTGTGGACGTTTATAGTAATTTACAAATGCTATTTTATTCAGTTTTGGAGAATAAACCCAGGGATACACTATGGTTGAGCTACAACCCCAATGAATTAATTATTCTTATTTTGAAACGAATTCTTTGTAAGTTGCACAGACGGGCCTGGAACATACAATCCTCCCACCTCCATCCCCTGAATAGACTCCTAGGTGCTTTTGAATAATGAACAGTAACATTTTTAAGTTTGTTATTAACATTACACTTTGCTCATAGTGGAAATTTTCGTATATATAACATGGTCATAAAACTTTCCTTTATGACTTATTCTTATTTCATTCATGTCTTTTGGAAAACCTTCCCCACATAAGATGCTTACTCCTACTTTATCCCAAAATGTAACTGTTTCC